CGTAGTTGAACCCAGTAGTGTAAACCCAACCATTCTCCCCCAAAAACGACTACGTTACAGATAAAACTCATCTCAATTAGTCAAGAGTTTAAATAAACAAAAAAAAAAAAAACGGTATCAACTCTTTATTAAAAAAAAAAAAAAAACACTTTAAAAATTCTTACGAATTCGAATGCTCTTGGGTCTTCTTCTTCTTTTCTGTTATTTTTTTTTTTTTCTTTTTGTAAAAAAAGTGAAATTCAATTTCAATTACGTTTAATACGTATATTATTATCTCAGCCTTGACCTTCATTTGTCTTAGGTTTCTGTGTTTATCATATTTTCATTTTTGATCACACTTGAGCCGTGACCTTGTTCATGAATTTTAATAAATTAACACTTTCTCATATAGTTCCCGTATTAAATTGAATTCAATTTACATTGCATACGACGCATATACTTACTACGCCGCGAATTGCATCACTAACGGACCTCTGTGTTTGTTTATTTGCATTACGGCATGAATGTATATATATACATATATATATATATATATATATACGCTTATCAACGTATCCATTGGTCTGATGTAAAATAAACAGAGAACAACTTAGAATATGAAATAATTGTAATGAAGTTAAAGAAACCTCAACTGTTTGTTCATTATCTTATTAACAATTCCGAGAATCATATGTTTATTAATATCAATGAAAACCGTATATAGAACGAGGAAAGTGTTTAAAATTCTTTGAAATTTAAGTTAAATTAGATTTCAAGTAACAAATACATACACAAAAACAAGTGCAGGTGTTATTAAATACCCTACACTATCCTACCGTTATTCATATAATGACTTTTCAAAGTAATTCGTTATAATAGAAATAATCGAAAAAGTGGCCCGATCCGACGCATTTTCAATAGCATTCATTCTTGAGGCAAGACATGTCGATATACTATATATTTCATCTAAATATCTTGAAAAGTGCGACCTGTACATGCAGGCTAAGCCTAAGAGTATAAAACCGACCGGCGGACAGACAATCTTAAATAGATTCAGAGAGTGATACTGGCCCGATCGGTATAATGAATTCTACGTATACCTGAAATCCTACTTGGTGCTGCATATATTAACAAAAAGCTAATATACTCTAGCACCACAAGTGCTGTAAAGTATAACAAACTTGTAAATTGTTGAACTACTACTTGAAATTCCTTTTAAAAAATATCTTAATGAAAAAATATTTTGTAAACACTCCATACTAACTATATACAGAGAATCCGCCTGAGTGGCCGAAGGCAAGGAATCTCGAGTAGCAATTCAATAGTTCGAATCTCAAGTGCAGTAGAGTTTTTAATTAAAGCCGGATAGCCATAGAAGCTAGAGCTTTAAGAGTTTAGTCTTGGAATTTATTTCTCTGGCGAAATTGATAATAAGAATAATAATAACATTTATATAGATTGTATAGAATTATATAGATTTATACCTTTTTTCTTAATGTTTGTTTTAGAGCAATACCTACCAATCAATATATTAGTTTGGGGAAAAAGAAATCCGTTATTTTTATATGAACTTCAGGACTTTATTTAACACGCTTCGGATTGTCCGATTTGGGTCAAATATGCACCGTTTTGTTGTACGATTTGTTGCCATTTTAAAGGTAACTTCAAAATGCCTATCTCATAGAAGTCCTGGTCTCTATTTGCAAAAAACTCTAGTAGTCGATTTTCACAATCCTCCCTAGATTCCAATTTTTTATCATTAAAGAAATTTTGCAATGCAAGAAAAAGATGATAATCGCTTGGTGCCAAGTCCGGACTGTATGGCGGATGCATTAAAACTTCCCAACCAAGCTCCCGAAGTTTCTGGCGAGTCACTGTAGATGTATGTGGCCTAGCGTTGTCCTGGTGGAACACGACACCTCTCCTGTTGGCCAATTCTGGCCGTTTCTGGTCAATCGCTATCTTCAAATGGTCCAGTTGTTGACAGTAGAGATCAGAATTTAGCGTTTGGCCATATGGAAGCAACTCATAATAAATAATCCCCTTCCAGTCCCACCAAATGCATAGCAAAACCTTCCTGGTTTGACCACCGTTTGAGGTGCTTCAGCGCTCTTTGACCACGATCGTTTTCGCACAGGATTATCGTATGTGATCCATTTCTCATCTCCAGTCACCATCCGTTTAAGAAATGGGTCTATCTCATTCCGTTTGGCCAAGGCTTCGCAGATGGAAATTCGATCCATCATGTTTTTTTCTGTTAATTGGTGTGGCACCCAAACATCGAGCTTGTTTTTGAATCCAGCTTTGTGTAAATGGTTTAAAACTGTTTTATGGTCGATTTTTAGCTCCTGGGCGATGTTACGATTGCTAACATGCCGGTCAACTTCGATCATTTCTCCGATTTTATCGACATTTGCACATAATTGGCTGTTACAGTATCGGAACCATAAACACCATTCACAATTTTAGCCACCTGGCTTGCATTTTCGCCTTTATCAAAGAAAAACTGTAAAATGTACCGAATTTTCTCTTTGTTCACTTTCATTTTTAACACGCTGTAACTCACAACTGAATGCACAAAACAAAAAACAGCAAAAGAATTTTTTTTACTGCGAAATGTCCCCTTTCCAAGGAGCATAAATCTGAAATTGTTTGATCGATACTTTACGGGAAATCTATCAGTGCAGCCATCTACCGAAAAAATAATGGATTTCTTTTTCCCCAAACTAATATTTTCGTATAGAGGGTATATTAAGCTTGTGCAGACGTATGTAAAACGCAGAAGGGCTTAACATAGATCCACCTTTTATTATATCGATCGATCCAGAATCATTATCTGAGTTGATCAAAGCCTGTCCGTTCGTCTGATGTCTGTCCATGCATTTTTGTTTTCAAGCTACAGGTCGCAATTTTTGAGATATTTGGCACCCCGACGTACTTTGCCCAAAAGGGCAAACGCTGTTGGAAATGGTTCCGCTCGGTTGCTTTTTGCAATCACTCCGCATATAACGCGCTATTCTAAAAAGTCGTTATATGAAAAAAAGGCGAATTTCAACATTTCTCGACAAAAGTGGCTAAGTCGTAGTTTTTCGGCATTCTAAATTAGTACGAAAACTTTCGACCAACTGGGGCAATTTTTGAAACCCTTCTCATATAACGAAAACTGAATTTCATACGACAAAGAGATATGTTTCAATGCGTCATAATGGATATTATATCATAACAGTAATTTAACATAAACAAATTAAATGTATCAAATTTAGACCATCTCGGCCTATTTTGTTGAATCCTACCCTAAAAAGCATTTTGTCCAAAGTTGATCCGTTATAGAGCAGAAAAGTGTAAGTTTTAATATGTGATGATGAAAATTGACACATGGTAGTAATTTCATAAAAAAATAAGATTGTGCTGGACAATGTGGTGTAGGGTATTCAATGACCAGCGTTGCCCAACTAGGATGTTTTTACTTGTTTTCATATATTTCAATCCGATAGACAACAACGTTTTTTCACATATTGCAGTTAACATCAGAACCACCCTGAAGTTTTGCGTGCGTCTATTTCCATTACAATAAATCAATTTGAGCCATAACTTTGTCGAGTTGGCACAGTTGCAGAGTTGTCGGTGAGATGCTAAAATTTGAAACAAGTATCGCTTGATCGAAGCCAAGATTAAAAAGCGGTAATGACCTACCCACCTAAACGGTCCCAATAGATTAGAAAGACGGAAAATTTTTTCATATTTTGTATCGGTCGGCCTATGCGAGCTTCCCACAACGGTAATGCAACATAACTCTATTGGAGTTTTTACTTTAGGATTATGTTAGAGCATTGTCTTACGCCGATAAACCGAAAAGAAGTTATAGGTCGAATTGGTCGAAAAACTGATTTCATTAATATTTGTCTGAAACGCGAGAAAACCAGTTGGACAGAAGGACAAGCAAGCCTCGATCAAGATAATAAAACATTAGTTTATTTCAAATCCTTCTGGGTCTTACATACATCTGCACAAATTATCACAGGTGGGGTAGAGTATAAAAAAATCCTTATTTGATAAATCTTTAGAAGTATACGTCGGCAGTTATGGCAAACATATCGATTACAAATCATTCTCAGGAACTGGACATAACTGTTATTAATTGGCCACAATTTTACGCAGGGAGTTGGATTTGCTGCCTTAAGAAATCAAACTGGAAGACTATGACGCTTAGCATCAATTAATGTAATGCGTAGGTCTTTATAAACAACTAAAACATATCTCTCCAAGTTCTACGCGAAACACAAACGCCTATATGATCAAAGTGGCTATGAAAGACACTGGCGCGGGCATGACGAAGAGAAATCCAAGACAAACAAAAATTTTGGTTTTATTTTTACGAGAATTTTTCCATCATTAAGTCCATTAAGTCCATTGCTTGTCATATAAATATACATACTCGAAAGACGGAAAGGTTTTTGCATATGACTTACTATTGCACAAATACGTAAATATTTAATTGCCTGCAATTTTGGCATCAACAAAAACAACAACAAACTAGTATTTAAAAATATTTGCAAATTGCTCGTAGGAATCAGTTTGTTTTGCTTGCAAGCAAATTTCATAATTTCAAGTCGCCTGAAATTACCTTCAAAAACAGAATGAGATTTAAGGCAAAACGTACTCTTATCAATATGTAATTAGTAGAACTAGTAAAGTAAATTGATAAAAATCTTGCTGTGATTCATAGATGTTTTTTAGCACCAGTTCAGATTTATTACATTCGTGCATATATATATATATATATATATATATTGTATATAAAAATTTCTAAACGTTAAAAAACACACACATAAATTTTGAAATTTTATTCTATTACAAAATACAAAACAAAAAGAAGGGGAAAAAAAAACAAATCTATGTATATTTATATATGTATACATATTTAAATATGCATATACGTGCATATATATATATATATATATGTATATATATTTATATATATATATATATGTACATGTGTCAAAAAGCTGCCATTGATTTACTTATTCATATTAATACGCAGCAGATCTTTCCATTCTCACAGTCTATGCCCGGTCTTGTAAGGGCTGTAGGGCATCTGTCCATGCATGCGCCCATATGTTGAACACAAGGAGCCGGCCTCACAGGTACTATATATAGCAGTTATGGATAGAATGGGAAAAAGGGAAAGATGTGTGAAAGATATTATAACCAATTGTTGTGTTTACATATATGAAAGGATTTCATTGTTCGTGGTTTATGGATGGATAGAAAATTTTGAGGTTAATTGTTATAATTTTTTACTGTTAATGTTTTATATGAAAAAGGTGTTAACAAATCATTTTGCTTTTATTAATATGGTTTCGAAAATCTACTTACATTCATAACAGCATTCGACGCCACGATGCGCATTCGATGGGCATAAGCCCTTGTTAGTGGTCGGTTGAAGACAATCGCTACTATGGACACAAAGACCACCAACTAGGACGCATTGTCGATCACCTTGATACACCTTTACGCCCTGAATCACTGCAAAAATCAAAAAGCTCGCTTATTAATCTTAACTCAAAAAAAAAAAAAAAAAAATGTAAACAGAGGACCGCCCTAGTCATAAAGTGAGAAAAGCAAATACGTTTTATAGGTTTAATGAACTGTGTAACTAGTTTCAAAACATAAAGTTTCACACTTATAATTATTCAATAAAACGTGACTAACGACAACACTGTCATATACTATATAAATATACAAACACACACATACACATACGCATACACATACGAACATATCTACTCATATAGATTAATATGCATACGAATATACGCGCCTTGCATACAAATCATTCCGTAACGTAGTGTTGCACTATTCATTATTAACTGAATGATTAAACATGATAACGATGCAACGCAATGCATGGCAATGCAATGTTTACGTTGCAATTGAATTAATTGAGGTAGTCCCAAGCAAAATTTTAATACATTATGTTTAACCCAATCATTAATATGCAATATAATCTCACATGAGATCTTTAAGACAAAAACCCCAAGAGGTTATTACTATACGTTACCATATATAAGCGAAAATTAAACTGTGCAACGGTTTGTGCCAAGCCATTTATTTACGAAAATTATATCTTTGTTTTAGTAATTGAATAGTTTATAGGCCGACACGTTTATAAATGCTTATATATATATATATATATGAAGAAACCATTCATTCATTACTTTCTCTTATGCCTTTTTCAACAAAACACATCTGATGTGAATATTGTTTTTTTTTTTTTTTTTTTTAGCGAATTCTACAAGAAAAGAGGGAATAGAGTCAACAAAAAACGTTTAATTGATTACGTAATCTCTACATGAGAGACAAAGAAAGATAGAGAGCGAGAGAGAGAGAGAGAGAGAGATAGAGAAGGAGAGCAAATAAAGGGAGTAAAGACAATCCTTACTGCTGGAAAAGAAGAGACTACACTTTAAAGCCTATTGATGAGAGAAGGAAAGCGGATCGGGATAAGATGACAAAGGGAACTCATTTGCCGCTCTCCTCGTCTGCTTTTTTTGAAGATTTTGCTTAACTTGCTGCCTTGTCGTTTGTATGTCGTTTAATTATTGCTTCATTGCTTCTTACCATCTTTTTTTTTTTGTAGCAAAAGAAGAAAAAGTAAAAAGGGAGAAGACCCTAGGTTACATGTCGGACATCCGCTGCAAGAAGGCATCAATGTCCATCATCGCATGATACGAAGATACATTCACTCGATATATTAATCATGTATTTTATTGAACTTATTATGCTATAACGTTATAGAGGAAGCAATGCCCCCTAGCACTTAACAGGAAAGTATGGGAAAAACTATACATCTACACATTCCTCATATTCGGCTTAAATCGATAGCATTCTCAATTAATTTGTTCGACATACTTAGACAGAAAAAAGATCTATCCACTCGCTATAATTATATCATTTCGCATTTTATGAATTCCACACCATGTAAATTTCGAGCTACACACTATAAGTACACGTATATCTAACCCTATAATACCGTACGTCAGTTGTTGTACAAGGGTATCGTAAGCTTTTTTAAAGGTATGCAACTCGTGGAGTGGCTGAAGACACGTCTAAATTTTATTATACCGATTTAAGCAGGTCTGTGCCTCTGTTCGTCTGATTTTTTCCCCTTATATTCAACCGATAGGTCGCAATTGCTGAAATAGTTTGACAAAATCTAATACACTGACATGTTTTCGCCCAGGTGCAAACTATACTGAAAATTTATGTATTGGTTCGAACCGTCCAATCCCCACATAGTGATAACGCCTTATTTCGAAAAAACCGTTATATGAAAAAAATGTTGCAATTTTCAAACTTTCTCGACAAAAATCGCTCACTAATATTATTTAGGCATATTAAATTGATGTAAAAATTTTGGATCGTATGGGCTGATGTTTTGAACCCCCTTTTGTATGATCGTTAATACGAAAGGTAGACTTTTATGTTGGAAAACCGCATAATTTTTAATATTTTACAACAAGAATAGGTCCATAGTTGGAGGTTGACACAAAAATCTAATTTGAATCACGGAGGCCTGTTTCCATGCCCCATTCCCTAGAAAGATTCCCATGAAAAATAAGCATTTGTTTAATAAGAATTCTATTCTATTTTTTAATATATTGCAATGCAAAGTGGTCCCTTATACCAGACATAGCCCTACTAAATTTAGATCCGTTAAGTCGGACCCCATCTTTTATAAAGATACTAATGAATGGTAAGAGTTTAAATTGTAAGAAAGTCTTATTTGTAATATTTGTAACGTAAAACTTTACTTCCAAGCGAGACAAGCAAGTTATATGGGATCCAACGAGGAAAAGCCTTGTACGGCTAAATGTTTGTGCAATATTTTTTATAATACGGGTGTACTAATGCCTAAGAATATTTCTATATTACAATACACGGCAGGTTGACTTTGTGTTATCAGTTTTTGCGTAGCATGGGTGCTTTCTGCCACAACAACTGATTTTGAAAGAGTTTCGCGAATTTCGCCTTGGCAAACGGTGGAGCGGCATTGCCAGAATTGAAATAAGTGAACTTATGCATTCTTGTGTTAATAACACATGTCGTGCGAATGTCGTGCATACCGTCGCTTGAACATTTTCTCGAGTTAATTCCATTTTTACGTTCAAACATAATTTTCAGTTCACTGCAAACAATACAACAAAGAAATGCACGAATCGAGTCCAAATGGCAAAATACTCTGTTTCTTCGTCTAGAACTCAGCAAATCAGCAATAAACGATTCACTGTCCTATGCACAATAGGATCAATGACAAAACGAATTTCTTTGCCTACAAGTTAATAAGATTCTGACGGAGATCTGGCGAAAATTTCAGTGACAACACTTAGTGTAGTGCAATAAAGTGCAACATATAATAAATTAAAAAAAAAAATTGAAATATATGTTGCACCCCACGTGTATCCCTTACGGCGATATAGATATTATATATTATAATATAATCTAATAGCTAATAATCATTGAATGTTTAGAGTAAGTTGTTTACATTTTTGCACTCAATCACTTCGGTTTGTGGTCACATTTGAACTTTGCATGTTTTTAATTTGATTAGACAAAATATTCCCCGAATTGAAAGCTATATACATATATATATATATATATGCACAATCATTTTTTATTCACACTGAGTAAAAGAAACGAATTTTTCGGACTTATCTTGAACAAGCCTTGCACATATATATACTAAAAAACAAAAAAATATATATAATTTCTACTTGCTTTGATCAAATATTAACGAGACTTTTTAGCCAGCATGAAGTCGACAATGCTTTTTGAAAACTTAGAAACGAAAGAACAGGCAAAGCTCTGGATGGTGGCCTTGTTTGATTGTTTCTGAAGCTGGCGAATACATGAAAAGTATTAATAATGAAATATATAATAAAATAAATATAGTTTTTGTAGTCATCATCTGTTGCTAAAGAAGACGAAATAGTCTTTGAAAAAAAAAAAAAAAATCAAAAATTTCCCTTACGCTACAAAGGTTTGCAGAAACGCACGGGCTGCTAAGACTGTATGCTGTATGGGTAAAATAGACAAAAACAATTTGAAAGTATAAGATTATTGTGTCTATGAGTGAGTGGCAAAGTCAATGTTGCATGAATGCTTGTCAGGCCGCTAAAGACTTTTTCGAAGATCACATAACTGGTAAATAGTTTACGCGACCACGGTTGTTGCGTAATGGAAAATAATCTACTTTTAAGTTTCTTTTTATTTATTTATTTTTTGTGTTTTTTTTTTTCTTTTCTGTTAACACAGCAAAACTAATCTCACGCACACGCACACACATGTACCGAATCATAATAAGAACTAGGCAAGTGAAAGCGAAAAAAGGTCAAATACTGATAACGAAGTGATCCCCGTCCAAAATATAAAATAGAGTACACACTGTACTGTACACACTTACTATAATGGTCTTGAGCATCGTTGACTTCGTTATCATCAATGTCGGCGGCAACTGTTCGTATGGCCAACAAAGTAATTAACGCAATACTGCAGGTAAACGCATACGCTTTACAAGACATCTTCTATTTTTTTTTTTTTATTTTATTTATTTATTTATTTATTCTTTTCTTTTTGCGATTATATTTATATATTTAACTAAATTGATTAGAAAATTTCACAATTATTTATTATTTCAGCTTATTTCTTTTTTTTTTTTACTTATGTATTTCAGAAGAAAGTAAAAAAAAAAAAACAACTTTCAATGATTTTCAACGGCCCGGTGCACCAACCACTTGTAATTTGTTATTGTTTTTATTTTTTTTGCTTTTTTTTTTTGGTGAATTTTTCGAAAACATAAAAAAAAACAGAGATAAACACTTGCTTTGATAGCAGTTCGCTCTCAACTGAACGTTCTAAACTATTCGATGAATCTATTTAAGTGAAATTTATATGAAAATAAAAATTTCACGTGAATTTTCGACAAATTGTTTAGTGATGCGCAGATTGCTTTTCGTAGCCAGTACATACTGCGTGAACGTAACGTGAATACTGTTAATAATGGACGGACAGAGAAAAAAATCAAGAGTCAGTTTTCATATTAAGGAGAGTTTGCGCGAGAGCTTTTGCAGTTGTGCTTCTCTCAGCGATCAAGACGTGTAACTCTCTGCCAGTATATAACCAGTTCAGTGGCAGAATGATTAGATAGATAGATGATTGCAGAAATTACTCTTGACATTGCAATTACGGCCATGCGTTGTTTGTGTATAGATGCGTAAGCAACAATTCGCAATCATCGAATCATTTCCATATTAAATATTATTAATATGCAAAACCCATCTGCATTTATATATAGAATATCAATAAATTTGCATGCCGTCTAATTGATCCATCGATATCACGAAAGACTAATGCATGATCTTGGGGAAAATTCACAAAATGAATTGAATTAAATCGCTTTCAACATTTCCTCACACATATACACAAATACATATTTTTGTTTTTTTTTTTTGTTTTCTTTCCTCTTCTTCAAGTCATTTTTGCAATGCTTAATATTCGTCTTCTGACCATCATTCAAAACAAATTTGTACCAACTCTTGCTGAATACATAATCAAATGTTTATTTCATTTTCTCTCTTTCTCTCTCTCTTTCTCTCTCTCTCTTAGCAAATATGTATATGTTTATATATCCATACATATGTACTTATGCCGCGTTAGCGGCACATGATATGTCTGCATTCGTTATTAAGGCAACGTAGTACGAAATTGTTTTACACTCACGAGAACGCAGAACGCAAAAAATTGCAGATTTTGAAGACTTTTTAACAAGGATTTAACAATGATTAGGCTGCCACTTAAACTTTTGGTCGGTCGACTTATTTAAGAAAGATTAGGGCCACTTTCCGACAGGTGTGAAGGTTCTCGCTGCAAAAAAAATCGTTAAACTTACACAAAGTCCTCTAGAAAGTCCTCTTATTGATGTTTCTTAACTTTTTCGCTCCGAGTCGTGGCATTTATGCAAGATATTTGTATAAGTTTAAAAAATCTTTGGCCGTGATGGATGTTTTTCCCACGAGGCTCTGACTTCAAAATTTTTTTTTGCACGTAACCTCAAACCCCCGAAACTTATTCAATGCCAGCTAAATTGTTAATTGATAGTCTTACCGTACTATTTACTATAAGGATGACGGCACGAGAACGGGAACTTTATCCTTACTGGGATCTTGCGTTCGATTCGGATTGCATCTTTCTATTTAAGAAAATTTTCTAAATCAAATGTCTAGGAATAGGGCTTTCTCAGGGCTGTTTCACTACATTTTGCTAATCCAATATATGTCACGTATTCGAGCAAGCACATAATTTATCCTGTCAAGCATTCGTCGTTAGAAAGGTACCTTGAAAGAAAGGGAGACAGCTGCTGCTTGCAGCATAAGGAAAGGCAGGTACTTTTCTTACCTATGTTCACAATCTAGGAATCTCTTGGCTATTATTCAAACGGAAACTAATCTTATGGGCGGTTTATTTAAAAAAAGTTGTATCCTTTTTATAATGACGGAACGGCTCACTGATCGCAAATGTATCATTAAATAATTGCAGTGTAATTGGTTGTTAATTATGGTATTAAGGTATAATTAAGGTATGTGTGTCACGCCAATCAGACTATAAGATGACATTTGGCACGAGTTTACATCCTCTGGCTACGACCGGCTTACCTAAAATAGCTTATGTCCCTAGTATACTGACGGAAGGTCTAATAGGAGAAACTTCTTCACTCACACAAAGTCTTTTAAAAACTGATTTACTTGTTCACTATTAACCGTCACATATACACGGCGGGTTTGTATTAGTCTCAAAAATCATCCGCCGTGGTGGATGTTTTATTTAGATAGCGATCGGGTATCGTAAGTTAAGGGGAGCTTGTACAGCCTAAAAACTTCACAATTTAGTTTAAAATAGGAGAGACCGAGATAGACCAACTAAACCGTTTAACAGCTTTCGCTCGCACTCTTTTCCCAAATATTAATAAAATAATACTAACGCGAACATCACTCTTACGTCATTTGCAATGAAAAAAAATGCTTTATATAAGTTATCCCAAGGAACGGCTCCTACCTTGACGACGAATGCTTCTCCATACAATGGATTTCTATCAATCAAAAAGATATTAAGTTAATCCAGTTACAATTACAACGCATCGACTTTACCCGCTATTAGAAAACTTCGTAAATCCCGACACTTTTTTACGATATCAGTCATAACGAAACGCAATTTGATACCGAGTCCATGATTATGCGTAACATTTCTCCTAATCAAAACTGCTGTGTCGCAAATTGCAAGTTGGGCTTCTCAGTCACAAATCTACGAGGCATTTTTGTTGATTCATACATTTTCGATTAAAAAAAAAAAATAAGCAGCCTTCACTGCACTCATTGCTAAATTCTAAAAAAAATCCACCTACCACGCGATTAGAATCAAAAAGAAAGAAAAAAAAAAAAAAAGAAGGAAAACGGAATTAAAAAATAAATGAAACAAAACCAAATAAAAAATTAATTGCAAATTCTTCGCAGCAAACTCATTTATCAAAATCGACTTCGGCAATTTGTAATGTTTTGAAAATCAAACAGAAGCAAAAACATATGTTGTTGAATGGCAAATAATATCCGGGGATGGTTTCCCACTTATAATAACTGGGGCACTCTTAATTACTTGTAACAAGCTTTTAAACGTATTTTCGTAACTAACGGAAGGTGAGTGAAAGTGCAAATAAAAAACAAAAAGCAAATAAAAAATTTTTCTTTTTCTTTGTCCAGTGCAAGTGCAAATAAAAAACAAAAAGCAAATAAAAATTTTTTTTTTCTTTGTCCAATACTGAACATGTAATTAATTAACTGATAATTAATTAACTTTATAATACATAAATACACTTACTTTAGACTTTACTTTCAATGTGTGTATCGAAGATCGATTTAGCTATCGATTCGCGCTAGCTATTAAAGTAAGGATTGTAATTACATAAACACTCTTACAACATCGCCTTTGGGTTAATTCCTTGCTTTTGCTGGATCTTTTATTAGTCCATTTCACTCTACTTTTTAATTAGGTTAGATTGAAACATCAACAAAATTGAACTCGTTCGGTACCCAGCGTCCTCTATATATGCATATGACCATGCTGCCTCGATCTGAACTAGTGGTAATCACAAAGCGTTACGTCTGATGAATACGCTTGGTGCGGCAGACTCTCCCATTCGTGCAGCAACAGTGTATCCTTAGTCGCTTAAAGCAAGTTTAAAACCTTGGGCTGTGGAGAGGATCGTGGCCTACCTTTTTTTTTTTTGCATTCTTTAGTTAATGCGTCACATGTTAATATTAGAAAACATTTATTCTATGCATGCTTATAACACATTTTTGACAAAGCTCCAGTAAGGTGATTTACCTGCACAAACGTACAAGTGATTTAACATGTTTGATGATAAATGTCTTCTTCAATTTCAAAACTGTATTTATTAAAAAGAAATAAGAAGACTCTAATGGGCCCCGGTGCGACCTTACCTTACCTGCGACGTGTACGTTGAACACAAGAAACCAAGACAGGCAGACAAACTGGGAGCAATATACTAAAAGGGCGAGTCTATCTATCAGAAGCGCTTTGGGGCTTTGCGCAAACCAAACATACGCTTGTGCTGCATGTGATGTAGAGAAATGAAGAAATCTAAGCCAAATGTTAAACTATCTTAAGGTTAAATTCAATTTTTTTTTTTTTTTTTTTTTTTTTGCGATAACAAATAACACAAACCATTTATTGTATCTGTCAGGCCTATCACCGCAAATACATGCTATTGGAATTTTAATTTTAATCTAAGCTTACTCTAATCAGGTAAATCAAGATGGCCTTTTTTTATGATTAGAAGGAATCGCGTAAATCCCGCAAAAATTTATTTTGCTGCACAATGTTATTGAAAAGTCCAATGTTAATCAAAGTAAACTAATACAAGTGAAAAGTTCCTTTACATGAATGGTTTAGAATGTTCAACGCCATGTATAAATTTATAAAGTTCAAGTATTTGTGTAAAGCTTAATATAAACTCAACAATCGGTTCTTGTTTGGAATGCAAAAGCTATGAGCTGCAGTGCCTTTACTTAATAGCACAAAAGCATGAACAAAGCTTCAGCAGCGTTGCCAACGGTACAAACAATTCATTTGCATATACTTTCGACAAACTCGATTTTTATATTGTATAAATATATATAGGTACATATATAGAGTTTTTGTTACCCATGGATGATTATACTGACTTTGCTGGATGAGATGCAACGGATATCCATCTATCTACTTTGAGTAATGCAACATTATGAGTCGATTTAGGGCCTTACAAAACAGCGATAGAAAATGTCCGTGAATTTTTTACACCTGCAATGGATCGTAGTCCATCCGTTAGCCTCATTACCTACTTGTTTCAATGTCTTTGCAGATATGACATTTGCAAGGTAGCAAGTGCAAGTGAGCTGCCCAAAGTGAACAGAAAAAGGCAGCTTATACTTCAAAGCCTACATTAATTTAACACTAGATTTATCGAAACTCGTCATTCTGGCGAAGAAAAAATGAAGACAGGAAGCTGAAATTTGTCACAAACATTCCTCGATCGACTAAAAATACATGGTTACAAAATAAGCGTTGTCTGTTTACATAGTCTCCCACATTGCAGAAGCAACGTAACAAGTTCGGCAATTTTTTGATATTATCATCCATAAGTTGCGACCTAACGAAGATATTTTCGAAAGTCTAATATCCATTAGGATCATTAAGATCACTTTCTAGTTCAGTCCTAAAATGGGTTCAATCAGTTTACTAACACGTCTACAATTAACCATAAAATTCGATTCAAAACGCGCTATAATAAAAGGGAAATAAATTGGAAATAAGCTGGAATTAAAATATTCCCGTTAACTGTGCGCGTGTGAATGTGTTAGTGAACCGATTAGAACCATTTTTTCGGCGAATGGAGGGAGGGAGGTGATTCTGCAAAACATTTATATTACAATTTACGTAGATTTTTTCAGTTTCTTGCACATTGTTCGTGCGCCAGTGAACAGTTCAGGTCCATTTTTTAAAATCGCATATTTAATCGATCAAGGAACGTTTGTGCCAAATTTCATCTCGCTCCCTTCATTTACTCGTCGTGGCTTTTCCCGGAAATACATACGCAACATCAACATAGGAAAAGTGGGCGTGTCCCAGAAAAAAAGAGTAAAAACATAAATTTGCTGCAAAACCGATATATAACATCTAACGATATCGTGTTAGTTACAGTGAATTTTTAAAATCAAAAATTGACGGCTCCCGTAAATCTAGCGTCAAGACTGTAACCGAAAAAGATAAGTAACCAACAGTGCAATGCGCCTAAAAAATCGATATACAAAGACTGAACCTCGTCTTCATTTAATTTTTAGATAGAACGGAAACGGGTTTCGTACCGGAGAGTACAAACCAATTCCCCGTTGCCTCAGACCAACATATAGGGCTGCATTTCCCGTTTCGTTTCATTCCATTACTGAACGTTCACACGAAGATTTAAAAGACGCACACCAATAGCCCTATGCGCCTTATAAATACCTTCTGCGACATTAAAATTTTGGGACTTATGCATATTAATGATTTCTATACCTTTTTCATACCCTTACCGACAATTTAATCACTAATTAATATTTCATATTATTATCTCAAAATGATTTGCTAGATGGATTTCGCGGAAGAGACTGAATTGATCTTTGTAAGCTCGTTCTTTTGGCGCATATTATTGGAAAAATTATATACAAAAATGTAGCGAACAGAGACTTCTCACGCGCAGGCCTTATCCCTTTGGTAACGCGGTACAAATAATTTTAGTTGGCTGTCGCACATCAAATCGCCAGAAAAGGATTAAGCGCATATGCAGGCGTCCCACGCTTAAAACGGTTAACTTGTACCGCGCTGTATCGAAATCGTTTTATACGAAACGATTTTATTTAAGCTAAAAATCATACAGAAAAGCATAATTCAAGTTTAGATATATCATAAATCCAAAGAATATGAATAAGAAAATTTTGTGTTGTGTTATATCGAAACCATGCTTTGCAAGTACCATTTTGAGTGAGGGACGGCTGAACTGATATGAAATTGTATAAGAATATTTCTTAGTATAATCGAAAATTTGAGCGCAAAAAAAAAAAAGACTTAATCTGTCCCAGTTTGCACGGCATGCAAATTAATCTAAAACAAGCAAAAACATTATGTATACATATAAAAGGGCTACGATCTACCATTACCATAAATGTCCTACACCAGTTCGCCTAATACAGTTTCTCATATGATGACTTTTTAAAATAAACCTTTAGTTAGGAAGTGCTCGAAGAAGAAGAACTATTTTCAATAGTGTTCGTCCTTGGGACGAAACTAGTCAGTAACGCAAATGCTATCAAAATATTTCAAAAATAGCGACGAGTAGATTGAACAAAAGAATACATGGATGGACGGACAGACAAGCTGAGAGCAATTCAGGAAGTGATTTAAAAAGTGAATTTGAATCGATCGGTAAAAGGTGGATAAAAGTCCTATTCGATACCATCGGACAAACTTACTCTACTCTTATGCCACAAGTAGTATAAGTAAGAATTTCCTTAGTCATCTAAACGTTGAGGTAATAAAATGCTTCCCAATTAGCCAAATTTCAATTCAGCAATTTTTGAACCTTGCACCAGTTGGGATGTAATGCTATATTTAGAATCACACTCTGTCCGTCTGTCCTTCTTGTTTTTTTGTGTTCAACCTAGAGGCCGTCATATTTGAGATACGTTGATAAAATTAGTTACACTGACGTTTCTTAAGCCAAGAACGAAATTTGTTGAAAATTGTTTCAATTCGATCACTTGCCATTTTAACGCCTTATTTTAAAAAGACATTATAGGTACGTGGGGTATCAAATTGTGGGCTATGCTCTACTATAAGATTTTTATTTGCAATATATTGTGCTGAGAAAGTGTTCACTCTAAGGCCTTTTCTTAGGTACAGATGCACTTGCGAATCGATTTACAGATCGAGCAGATCGTTGAGCACCAAACCATGAAAAGCAAGTATCTCAGCGCTTTGCATACTTGATTAAATCTCCTCACATGTTAACACTGAAATCTACACTGCTCCTTACGCTAATCATTAATGATGGTGTTGGAAGAGATTTCTCATTTTTCAATTTCTGGCAATAATAAAATTAGCCGATATTAACATACTTCGATGTTTAATACAATACCTGTAGGTATTAAGAAGAAACCAAAACCAATAAATCACTTTTGGCAATCAGTTATGTTATTTCTTTGTTCTTTTTTTTCTTTTCTTTTTTTTTTTTTTTTTTTTGAATATATTTTATTTCATTTATATACATTTGAAGACTCTAATAAACATTAAACATTAAATATATATGGAAGCGTAAACGTATAGCACGCAGTTAGCTGGCAGTTGAGAGAATGAGAGAGAATCAAACGAGCAAAGGTAATTAATCATAATGAGGAAAAGAGGGGCAGTTTCGTTTTTTCTTTCTTTCTTTTTTTTTTTTTTGTTTTTTTTTTTTTGCTTCTTCAAGGATTCGGAGATGAATGCAATATAACAATAGTTAAATATGTACATATAAATATGGTTATGTATATGTATGCATGTGTAGATACATTTAAAATTTAATATATAAATGAAAAAGAAAAGAAAGAAAAACGTTTCATAATTATGTTACCTAAAATCACATAAAAATACTTAGCGATTCTGTGAAGTATTGTATTGTGCGCCGTAATGTGCTAACGATTAAAAATTGAAAAAATATATATATGTATTTTTTTTTTAAATCTAAGAGCGATAACTAAAATACTTTCGGGCATTCATTAATTATTTGCAAAAAAAGTTGCGTTTACATTAAAAATGATTTTGTGAGGTTTAATGTTCTTCTTAAGAGATTGATTTCGGTTTAAAGTAATTGTAAACGTTCGGCCAAGCTGCTAGGACGTAATCTTCGATACCGCATTCATTGCTGCCTCGCAATATGCGGAAATTACCGTGCTCACCCCACCATGTTCCCCAGGAGTTGGTAGCAATCTGTAGAATTATTTGCTCAGCTCGATCAAAGCAGGATAAATTCTTAATCTAGTACTCACCCAGTATTTGTTGCCGTCGTGCTCTTCACCCCAACCGATTAATTTCACTGAATGAAAACCTACAGGACTACCGCGACTGGCCGCTGTATGACGATATACTCCCCCGGAATAGGAAAAGAAATCTCTATGAACTGTTAGCGTAGCCTGAACTGGGCCCGACATAAATATTTCTGCCATAATGTCAGTCTCATTGTTTAGAGAGTAGGCTGGACCTACAGTATACAATTCATCGCGATCTACACCCGAATACGATCTGCAACCGTTACTTCTCAGCGAACGACTATTATAAGGGATTTTACACGCGTCCCGATAGCCAACATAGGGATAACAAGATTCATCGACAACGCTAAAATTTTACGCAAGACATATGCTTGTTTAGAACAGAGTAGAAATTCTTATTATTATCTTATTGCATTTCATTGTTTACCCTTGCTTGTGAAGATAACGCCAAGCAGCGTCCAAATGGCCGCCGTTGCAGCCTTGTTGTCTACGCGTACAAGATAAAATATTTTGCGGGGACAATTGAATGACTTCCTTGCCTCTGCTTTGTATGGCGAAGCGATCCGATGCTACAGACGCTGTGGATATAACCCAAGATGAACCACACCAACCTAATGAAATTCATATCGTATCAGAGAGTGATTAATGCAATTTATGAAATAGTCAAAAAAAATACTTGCCTTGATCAGGAACATCGGATATATATGATGCCCATTTATCAATTGAATTGAAACTTCTTGGCAAATGATCGACAATATTGTGTAGACGAGACATTGCCTTAACGCGATATGTCGGCTCCTTGGTGCCTAAACGTTTCGTTAAGCCTTCCGCATATTTATGACCCCACCATTCATCGTATTTACGAGCCGACCAGCCAAGTCTATGTATCGAATTTACATTTCTAATGAGACTATCATCAGTTAGACAGAGATCCCTATCGCAGTCAACAATCCCTCCATCTAAACAACGGCATTCATTGCAATTGTCACGTGTTGTATTAAATTTATGGAAATAGACACCGTTGTGAAGGCAGCTCTGAATCGGAGCAGGTTCGTTCAGGCAGAATGTACGATAATCAGGACAACAATCGCTTACGTGACCACGGTCGCAGAATTCATCGCAATAGCATAACGTACCTACAAAATTACTCACATAAAAAATTATTGCAAAGATTCGAAAATTTGTGGTATTTTTTCCGCTTTCTTTTGTTTGAATTATACTCACTGGCAATAGGTAGGGAGCAACCATCCTGTCTATCGTTACAGCATTGATTTATTCTGCTACAATATGGTCCAGGAAAGTCATCTTTTAGCGTATGATCGAAACTAACAACTAAAGTGATCATGCCAAACAACACCCATATTTTTGTGGAAGCACATGAGTCTTTGAACATCATTATGATACTAAATTAAGATTTTCGAATCCAACGTCGAAATAGTTCTACAATAAAGTACAAATGAAAATACGATTTAGCATAAAATTTTTTTTAGCCAAGGATAAGCACAGAGTGCATTCTTTTTTTTTTTTTTTTTTTGAAAATCTATTAAATGACCAAACATTCTTATATTTTCTTTGTTTTTATCATTGCTATATATAAATATGCATCTACGTGATCTTTAAGATATGAACTAAACAATGCAAGAATATAGATTATATTAGTTTACATAATCTCTCGCCTTAATCATGTTGAAGAACACCTGAGAGTAACATACAACGCTCTGCATAGCTAGTACAGTCAGTACATTTTACCGTAACACCTCACCGACAAATATAGATAGCATGAAGAAAACTCACATGTCGATCTACGCGATAAAATTGCGATACAATCCCACATAATAATAAAATTACTTTACCTCTTAAATAAATCAGTTACTCACTGAGTGATTTGGGATCTTGCATCCAAACACATTTGTCCTGCACCTAATCTATGCTATTTATGCAGTCTATGCGATGAAATTGCGATACAAGCCCAAGAAATAAGAAAATTACTTTACCTCATAAATAAATTATCTCGTCATTCACTTTGTTTGAGTATCAATATTGAGATCTGCTTCGGATATTTTTGTCCTGCTTGTTCTGTTTGTACTTAATTTAGGCTATTTATGCGATAAAATTGCGATTCAATCTCAAGAAAATTACTTTACTCTTTAAAGGAATTAGTTCGTGATTGACTTTGTTTGACGATCGATGTGAGACCCACTTCGCACAATTTTGTCCTGTTTGTTGTGTTTGCATCTAAACGACTTGCATTCCCGCTGACATTGAAATTAACATTAGTGACAGGGTTAAGAGGATAGATCTCTTGTGAAAACAATTCAAATGAGATAACACTCGAATGAGTCCCTATTGACCACTTGATTGATTAACAAATGAGAACAAACTCGATAGGTGACGTTTATGGAGTCACTGTAACGGGTAAGGAGTTTACAACCGTAGACAAGGTAAGCACTTTGCTTAATATCACATAAAAAATCCTTCTTGCGCTCTCGAGTGTTATGTACAAATTACGATCAGATTAACTCGATATCGAAAACCATAAGACGGTCGTTACTCTTTCTTTGCTAAGTGATGTCGCGCTGAAAATGTGAAAATTACAGATACACTTGTTGCTTTCTTAATATGTGAAGATATCAGGAATAATTAATTGATGGGAAGGATTTCCTACTGATTTTAAAATAAAAAAGGAAAAAGTCACCCAAATCGCCGACATCCGATACTTGGCGAGCGATCTCAAGGAATTATCTCTGTTTAGTAGATTCTCAGCGCGTTCTCGTACACTTTTTAACTACTTAGTTTCTAAATGATATGTTATACCGTTTTACATGTAGCATATATATGTATATAAACCAATTGCAAAAAAAAAACACAATTTTACCGCAAACATGATCATGACAGCCAAAAAAATTTAAGAGAAAAAAATCACAAAAAATTTATAACAAAAATATTTATATTTTTTAAGTCTTATTTTTTCTATTTGAATTTTTTATGACCATCAGCGAAGGACTGAAGTATATTAATTTGTCAAACCGTTTGTAACATTCAGAAAGCAACTTCAACAGAAGTATTTATATACCGCAGGTATATACACATAAAGCATGTATACAATTTTGATCAGCATAGTCAAGTACGTCATTCCGTCCATCCATGTATCTATCTGCCCGTCTGGGTAATCTTTGGGTTAAGCTGCTTCGTGTACGTAAAAATTTAGACATCAGCTTCAAATATCCCAAAAATTACGGAAATTCCCTCACGTAGATTGGTATTGAAAATGGGATAAATCGACCAAAGGAAATGTCTGCAGTACAGCATAAGCTGAGCGTATATTTCGGTTTTCAAAAGTAAAAGAAGAAAGTTTTTTGCTCCTTACTCATAGACCGCAGCAGATGGACAAAGAAAAATTCCTACGTGTATTCTATGAGCGTACGATTGCCACCTTCCACTCAAGTTTATGGAATATCGAAATTCCAGTTTTCCGTTTTTTTTTTCGCTGATCACATGCGAATAGAATTTTCACACTTGTTTTAAATTATTTTGTTTATATCATTTTTATACCCTACATCACTTATAACACAAGGGTTAATTAAGTTTGTCGCAGATGTAGACAACAACCAGAAGGACTTGGCTTTCATTATATCGATCGATTCAGGATTACTTTCTGAATTCAACTAAGTTTGCTTGTCTGCCTGCACGCCTTGTTTTCTTATGCTTGATCTACAGGCCGCAATTTTTGAGATAATATGATGAAATTTGGTACACCGACGTGTTTCGGCCACGTGAGAATTAACGCTTTTGAAATCGATTTGAATCGGACCACTTTATCGACTACTCCCAATATAATTTATTTTTGAAAAGTCGTCATATGAATAACAGCAATGTATTAAGGGAAGTGATGTAGGGTATTCAATGTTGCACCGGTGCCCACTCTAATGTATTTACTTATTTTTAACTTTATTTATTCTAAATATATTTTGCTTTATTTTATTTCTCTTACGCGTTTATTAGAATTCCACAAATATTTTGTATAGAACTTAGACTTAATGGCGCGTTTTTCTTTTTTCTATCGTTGCTTGGATTGGAAAAGAGACGTCCCAAAGGAAGGGAGATTGCCTCGTAAACAAGTCTATGAGGAAAACGGAAAAGAATCAAGAGAAAGTCTCCAGGCATATAAAAAGGCTTTATATGCTTAGAGGAATTTCTTAATTCCCAGCAAAATAAGATAATTTGATGTTAATAGCCCTGCCATTTTTCTCCAGTTGTTCAACATATGCTTAACGAGAACATTTTCCTGAAGTATTTCCGGAATGTTCTGTAAAAGGTTGCTTATAATTTTGGACGCATGATTTTGGTAGATAATTAGACGTTAACAACAATTTGTTGTCTAAGTCGCTGACATGAGCATCTTTTTTTCTTTTTTTAATATAACAGTGCACCCAAGACAAGTCATCTATACGTGTTGCACAGCGATGATAAGAAAAAAGTCAGAAAAAAGAAAGGAGGTGGGGGATGAGCGCAGCCTAGTGAATGAGTGACAGGTGTTATGCCTTCACCGACGGAGTACTTACTATAACTACCCAACCAAGCGTGCTCAAACACGCTGAGATTTAAACATGCTTACATTGACTTGATAGTCCCCGAGTCTAATTGAGTGCCTCCTGTTTTAAAAAATTTAATTCGTCCTGGTACGGATCAGCAAAGTGTTAGATTTTCCCCACAAAATTTTGCATTGCAGGTAGTCGACCGGAGTAGACCGGAGTCCCTGTATTGCCTTCGAATCTAATTATGACCGAGAAGGAACATATATACCATCTAGGATCTCTGATGATTTCATTTTACGGTGCTATACAGGATCAGTGGATTTCGCCAGTCATTTAATGACATTATTTTATTACTGGTTTACTACTACCCTCCGTCAGTGAATTAATTAATGCGTAAAAGCCAATATTAATCCCGTCTTTTTGGTTGTTAAATAAAAACATTTTGCCTTCTCTTTGACAGACGGATCATCAATAAAGTTGCGTTTTAACACATGATTAGCATATGTATCGTTCGTTCGTTCGTTCGTTTGTTCGTTAACGATATGCACTGAAATACATGTGAACTTTTGCGATCATAAAACCTTGTGAATAAATATTATCATTTTATTATTCCCCAAACCAAGTCATAAACGATCGTAGAATTTAAAATATAACCAAAAAAAACAAAAAAAAATAATAATAATAATAATAAATAAATAAATAAAAGGCATCATTTTTTATGTTCCAATGTCACTTCCTTTCCATTTTCAACGGATAAGTTAAACTTTGATATTTCGTTTGATCCCTTTTGAAAGAATTCCAATGCCAACATGCTTTTTATGAATAATAATATGCATACAAGTTTGCATGGGTGCTGTCATAGAATTCTAAAAAAAAAAAAAAAAAATTCATTCACACAAATAATGAACTCATCAAATTTTTTGCTTGCATCACCATTTTTGTCTTCGTTCAAGAAAATTTCGATAAAAACAAAAGTGTAGTGAAAGCGAAAACAAATAAACTATAAATAAAATTTTGAATCATTTACGTTATCACACACATACACACACGCATACACACACGTAAACAATACAAAATGTTCTCTGAATTTTGCAATCGTAAAAATATGCCATTTAAGAATTTTTTATATATATATATGTATATATATATAGATATATGCACGTATGTAAACAAACTGGTATGCATGCGTGACAACACAATGTCTACGCGATCAACTATACATATATGCACATAAATAATTATATATATATATATATATAAGATTGAGACGATAATAACGGTTAATACCTTCAATACGTACGTAATTTAAAATATGTTAACAATTAATGCAAAATAAATAAATTAATTAAAACGCGACAAAATAATATAAACAAACCAACGTGCTCGTAAACATTTAATGCCCAATATCAACATGTTTATGTATACAAGTGCAGTTTTAGTTGAACGTTGTTACTTCGATATGCATTTAATGATGTAAAATTGAAAGTGAAAAAAAAAAAAAAAACAAAAAAAAAAATTAAAACCGAAAATAATTAAGAAAAATTTATTAGCCTAAAAAATCGATTTATATAAGCATTTAGAAAAGCTGACCTTATCCCATTTCATGTAGTTTTAGTGTAATGTCCACTTAACAACCAAAAGTGCACTGCATACACTATATTTATATGCATATTAGGTATACAAATAAGTTATGTGGAATTTGTCAATGAAATTCAAATATAATTAAAAGCAAGTAAAAATATCATGCTCGACTCTACAGCATTTCGCGTAACACGGTTATTTAACTTAACGGACTTTTCAAAATAAGTCTCTAACTGTGAGGTGACCCGATTCGAACCGTTTTCAATAGTGTTCGTTTTTAGTCGAAAACAACTCGATGCATTAAATTTCATCAAAATATTTCAAGAATTGAGACGTGTACCTTGAACGCAGTAATACATGGACAGAAAGGCAGGCGGGCAGATCGACAAAGTTATATAGATTTAGAAAATGATTCTAATAATAAAAGGTGGCTCCATCGTACGCTTTCTAAGCTTTGGACACTCCCTCACAACCTTAATATACCCCAGACACCGCAAATGGGATAAGGTATAGCTAGAGTTAAATGAATGTGACTATCTCAAAAATTTACACTTGTACCTTGAGCACAAGAATACATGGACAGACGGACGGACAAGCTTAGATCCATTCGCAAAATTATCCTGATTCTAAATAAAAAGTGAGTCTATCTCAAGTCCTTTTGGGTGTTGCATCCATCGGCACAAACATACTGTATTCTGTATCAGAATATAATCTTTCGCCGTTTCGTTGCCAGCCGATTTGCTAAATATAACTGCTCGGATCTGGATAAGTGATAATTCTGAATAATGGAACAATAGCGTGTTCGAACGTCCTGTGACGAATTGGCAGCAATATATTGCACAAGACTTGCATCAAATCGTGTATGCCGCCAAAAAAGGACATGCATAAGGAGCATAATGAGTTTAAGGAAGACCACGAACTGGTTGAGTTAACTTTCTTCATTCTAGTTAAGCTACTGTCATTTTATCGCTGAGGCCTCGATAATGAAGGATTTTTTAGACAACGACTCGATCAATATGATCAATTAAGCACCGTACTTAACTGACGTAGTTTCATCTGACTTTTTGTCACTTTGGGGCAAATTTATTAAATCGATTGCAGATTCGGATGTTGAACAAGCGGTGCGACAGGCCTTTACTAATTTAATGAAGAAGTTTGTAATAACAAGTGGAGGCTCACTTTCAATGTAAGAAAATAAATTTGAAATTCGGATACTTTTTACACGAAACACATATGTATTAAATATTTGCCATGTCTGATTGTCTGAAAACGTCGCGCATAAAATATTTACTATATAGAAGAATATGTTTACTTTACAAAAATGTGGGCATTAGCTGGAAATATGTGAACACCTAGGAAATCTCTTAAAACACCTTCTTTGTAGAGCTTCTCGTGGGGGAACAGAACATTGCCATCGGAGTTGCGAGCATATTTTGCCACAAAGGTATTATTACTTGTTTATATTGCTGTAACGAAAATTAGAAAATACGTCTACCTCTTTTTTACATGTTAGGTGCATTCCTTAGCAATCCGTGCGAAAAAAATGCTAGCGACATATGGTAAATTTGGTGATATCTTTCACAACTTAAAAAACTCTATATTTCCAAGAAACCGTGCAAAAAAAGCATTAATGAAATCCACAATTAATTCTCTTTTTATTGATCCCTTAAATAGTGCGGAATGACGTAAAATGATCATTGTGGGCGTGGCAAAATTTTAAGTCGTCTTCAATTCATATATATATCTGTATGCTATTGTGCGAAACACATGGAACTTTAAACGCGTTTTTCTCGAAATGCAGCCCTCAAAACGGCAAACAGCGTAGCTCGAACATTTTCATTATTTTCGTTGTCATTTTTTACATTAGCGCTAAAACGACTTTTTCCAGATTTCTCCGTAAGATTTTTTCGACAAGTTTATTTATTGTATGTACATATGAATCTTACTACCTTAACGATAATATATACATCAGATCATAGAGTTTCTTCTCCTGCGTAATGCAGGTAAGTTGAAAACCGCTCTATAAGATATTCTTAAGAATGCCTAAATGGTAAAGGACACTACAAATTAGTGTTCCACCTACTGCAGCAATTATGCCATTATTGTGTGCCAATTGCATGCTTACACTGCCTCTGGCAATGATAACAAAATTTTATCTTCTTTTACGGTATTGTAAATAATAAATAATAAAAACCAATACATCTGTAATATTTATGGATTGTCTGGGAGGAAAATGTAGTTTACATCAACATTTCATGTTAAACAAGAAGCTTTTATGTGATGTACATCATGCATTTGAGACAGAAAGGATTATTCTGTCTCATAAGACTTAATGCTTCCAATAAATATAGATTTTGATTCGTAATAGTTGTAAATGTTTTTGTATCACTTCATGCAGAGTTTTCTATTAATTTTGCTTCCATTAGACGGAGAGAACAAATAAAATCTATTCTACTTCCAACATATGCTGGCGTATTTGAAATTATTGTATTGTATACCGTACGTCACGTATGATGCAAGGATATAGTAAGTACGCTCAGATGTGTGCAAAACCCACAAGGACTTGTGGTGAGTTCATCCTTTATTATATCAATCGAACCTTTTCTCTCCGTCTGTCCGTCTGTCCGTTTGCGTACAATCCGCATTTTTTGATTTATTTTAATGTAACCTACTACACTGACATGTTTTGCTCCAAAGATAAATGCTGTTCAAAATGGTTCGCATCGGACCAGTCTTTCGACCACTGCGCATATAACGCCTTCATTGGAAATATTGTTATATGAATAAATTTTGCTTAATTTTTCAATTGCTTTCGAAGAATTTCAGGGCATTTTAAGGTTAGTTTCGAACTTCTTGTATAAAAAATTCCATCAAATTTTTATATATACGAACTAGAAATCGGACGGACAGACGCCATTATATAAAGATCGTTTAAACGGATAAATTCCAAGTTTCAGCTTTCTCCTTGAATTTCATTCAGCTCGAACGTTTGGATGGACAGACATATAAAGGGATACATATATAGATCGACTTAGAATCCACATGGTCATTCTTCGCCCAAGAAGAAAGCTGTGCTTTAACATTTAGTTTTTCGATTACTGGGAAAATTTTGTTTATTTTTTTATTATTTCTTTACACATGTCACAATACAAGCCATTATCTGATATCTGTTTAATAAGTAACAGGTAAAAAAATTATATTCAGCTGTGACCGAATCTTTTATGCCCAACGAGGATTGTGGATAAAGGTCCTAAAAAAAAAAAAAATTAAACCAAATTTCCATACTTTGCAATACTGCGTAGGCGTGCCAGATTTTTTCGATTTTTTTTTTATAAAATATTCGCGGATGTTTTTATCGCATATCTATTGTAGTTTATGCGTAATTAACAAAGAAGACATAGAAAGCATAGGGCTCTCATCTCCTACTAACTTGCGCGCAAGAACTTTCGAAATTCTTTCCAAATTTAAAAACAATAAGTTAATCTTTGCAAGCAGGATAATGTTTATGAACGGGTGAACGATGGACGGATGGATGGACGGACATGCTAAGATGTCTTCCGAATTCGACACTTGTTAAAAGTATACACATAAGGCTTCCTTCGATGAAATGAATGCACTCCCATCCTTCGATGATGGACGTAAAAATAGTACCTAACACATGGTTAAAAATTTCGATCAGTGACAGGACCTTCAAATAAATCACAATGGCGAATGCGTCCGTACTGTGTCCATGTTCTTGTTGACGAAGAAATAAATTAATTCGTAACACTTATGGTTTAAAACTTAAAACTTCAAAAATTAATCCTAAGATTTTAAGAAGAAAAAAAAGAAGACAACTTTTTATAAAGAGGCAAAGTAATCCTATGCAAAATATTCCTTGGATATCAATTTAACACCTTTCATAGTTTATTCATTAGTGAATATCACCAAAGCTTTAATGATGTCTGACACCACTCTTTAAATGCATTTTCACACAAACAATCGAATAAACAAAGATAAAAAAAAAAAAAATGCGAAACATGAATAAAATAACTAACTTGGTCTTCTCGTTATAATTTCAAATAACGCGATTTACACTTGATCCTTTTTCGAGAAAAAAATAAAAATAAGTAAATAATACGTGCGCTCCTCTACCATATACTATAGAATGTGATATTTCGCGATCGCGACTAGATGTCAACTGAATGCACAATCAATTTAAAAGTAAAACAAAACTTTGCTGACAATGATTTCTATCTTTGCGCGAGTATATCACAATTTCGATCAAAACGTTTAGTAGACGGGCAACAAACAAACACTTGCCTTAATGCGCTAGCGGACTGAGTACATGACAGAGAGACGATGCAAGTTAAAAACTCCGCAAGGAAATCAATATTAGCCAGAGAGAGACAGAGGAAGAAAGAGGAAGAAAGAGAGAGAGAGAGAGAGAGAGCAAACGTGATCGTGAAAAAGGGGTGAGAAAGAAAGGCAACGCCAAAAGGAAATAAAAAGTAAACAAATGTATATACCGCGGATACCGCTATAGCTGCTATACACAAACTTATTTATCTTAATTATTTATTAGCATGTATTAAATTCCTGCACTATCACACCAGCCCGCAATAATTTGTGCAGATTAGAAATCAATGCATATACATATATACATATATATATATATATATATATATATATAAGCACAGGTATTAAGACCATATAAACAAATTCTATCTACTACTGAGAGCGCAGACAAACCGCGCACGTTTTTAAAAGTTTTTGCAAACTAATTGTGTTTTCTTCAATTTCTTTAAAGCGTTTTCAGTTACACCGCATAATATTCAACATTTACATAACAAACAAAAACCAGATAATTGCTTTCATTTACAACTTTAACCTTAATTTCATTTAAACAAGTGCAAAAAGTAAAATGCACTAGAATTAAGCGGAATCTTAGGTACTTAACATATGAATATGATCTTTGTACTTATCTCCGCGTTACCGGAACACGGAGAACTAACTCTGTAAGATGGTGTAGACTTTATCGTGAATCCTACTCTGTGTCTTTCTAAATCTTCCAAGATCGCCAAAAATTTTAATGCAGATCTTAACTTTAGTACATTTTCTCATAAAGTAAATAAATGCTGTATAACATTTTGAGTCCGAACCCGATAGATTTTTCCAACTATTTCACGCGGAACGTTAAAAAAATGTACCTTCACCTGCTTGTAACAGAGCGTAGTCCTAGCCTTACAATTCGGTGTCTGGGTCGTAACATTCCATTCCAAGCCATAGTGTCAAATTTAATATGATGAATAGGTATTCATTAATTTCTGTGTGTGAGGCATATTGTACGCAATTTTATGCTCTTCCTTATGGCTAAATGCCCAGTTTTTGCAAAAGTTATCTAAAGTGGCAATAATTAAGAGAGATTTACATTCAATTCAAATTCAATTCAATTTCAAATCAAATCAACTTCGAAGCTAAACCAATTTCAATTCAAAAACAAATCAAATTCGTTTCGAAGGCAAATCAAGTTCAATCCAGATTCAATCCGAATTCAATTCGAAGTCAAACCAAGTTCAATTCAAATTCAATTCAAATTCAATTCAAATTCAGTTCGAAGCCAATCATCTTCAATTCAAAAGCAATTCAAACTGGATTCGAAGCCAAATCAAGTTCAATCCAGATTCAATTCGAATTCAATTCGAAGTCGAACCAAATTCAATGTAAATTCAATTCAAATTCAATAACCAATTCCAATTCAAAGCAAATCAAATTCGATTCGAAGACAAATCAAGTTCAATGCAGATTCAATTCGAATTCAATTCAATTCAAAGACAAATCAAACTGGATTCGAAGCCAAATCAAGTTCAACCCAGATTCAATCCGAATTCAATTCAAATTCGATTCGAAACCAAACCATGTTCAATTTATATTCATTTCGAATTCAGCTCGAAGCTAAATTAAGTTGAATCCAAATTCAAGATAGCCTGATCAACGTTTAACGACCTTTTCTCCATATTCTACTAATAAATGATATCTGATAGGTTAGTGATGCATTGGTTAACTTATACGCTCTCGTTTAAAAAATTTGGAATTTTTTGTTCATTTGCTTCGATAGTAGGCAACAAAGAACTTTTTTAAAGCGTAGACAGGTTTTCTGTGAGCAACGATCTGTTCATACGCCCAATACCCTTGGACAATACGCTTATATGAGTAAAAAGTTTACAATTTTTACAAACTTGTTTGTGTGGTGGCAGATAAATTTTCTTTAAAGGAAATGTAGCGTAGCTTTCGACGTTCGTCGATTCATAATGCAGTGACTTTGATTTCAAACTAATGGCTGAGTTCATTTTAGAGATATCGACTCAAGCATAAATCAGCCTTTACGCTTTATTATACCGATTAGGAGGATTACTTCCACTTAGACCCCACATAGATGTGAACTATATGAGATAAGACCCAGTCTTAAGCGAGAACATGATCAAGCGATATCGCTGTCAGAATTACCAGCCTAGACTGTAAGCACAGTTATTTTCATTGAGAGGTGCGAGCTTTGCCCCAATATCTTCATTAGTTTTTAGTAAAGAAAACGACACCTTTCTCGATTTTAGCAGCTACGTCCAACGGAAGTGCAAAAAAAACCTTCCTGCCAATGTGACGAATCAATATAATGCTTTGAGCTAAATTGATGGTTAGCCAAAAGTTTATGTTATAGTAATTAGCAACCAGTTGCCGACGCAAAAGTGACGTAATTAAATCGCTAATAGCAAAGACATTTAATAGGTTAGGGAAAATTCCAGCTGATGTGCCTCTGCTTTATAAAAACATCTGTAATTTTTATGTAAAGCTGATCATGATGTGATCGATATCTAAGATAAGCAGTTCCTGCGGCAAATAAACTAAATTATTATACTAAAGTACGTCAGTTATAAAGAAAGTAGTGCGGATTTTTTTATTACTATATATAAGAAGTAAATCCTTGTCTCTTTGCGCCGCTTATAATAAGTAAAAAAAGTGATGACAGTTAAGGGTAATTAAAAAGAACTTGCCTATGCCTTAGCTTCAGGAATGAAATTTATTTTAGGTATGTAACTTATGAATGACATATGTTAAGCAGTTTTTCTTGGGAGACATAAAATGTTTGCTTAACTCAATGCGCTTATGATATTTATAAATTCATTGAAACGTGCACTTAACGTTGTTCGCATTCGTTTAAATTGGCAAAAAAAAAAAAAAAAAAAAACAGTTTTTTCGAGTTTCTACTCTTTCTTTTTTCGCTGACGTTCATTTCTGATAGTATCTATGACGACATACTAGACTACGTATGTAGGTATGCATGCATATATTCGATCGAAATTTATGTTATGCAAAAAGTGTTAGTTTACACATTCTTGATATTATTTTTTAGCAATAATTTCCTAATTCTTCGTATGTAACACACATTCAGTTTAGCAGCAATTTTATAGTTTTTCGCTTTATTACTATTACCGTTTGCTTGCTCAAGCGAATGCCTCGACATTGAGATGTTCCAAACTTTAATGCACGATATCCATGATAATATAATGCGTTCATTGCATTTATATAGATATGCAAAAAACATCTGAACAAATACAAGATAATGAGAATAATAATTTTACCTCAGTGATCTCATTATGTTCATAAGATATTCTTGGTCTAATATTTATCACATCACTCAATAAGTTTCCGGTATGATTTGATTTGTATTTTTGTAATACTACCCCATATCACTATTAGGTCCTATGTCCCTTTTCAAGATAGTCAATGAATGTTATATCATGCGCATCCCAAAATACAAATGCGGCTTTTGCCTTTTTGCTGTCCACTCGTCTGATAGCCGAATTGACTCTCGAATGTAGTGATGATTCCATATTTTATCCATCGCCACATATCGCATGGAAAATCCTTTTTCATTTCGCCTAAACCGCTCGAACACTTCGTTGTTTTTGGCCAAAAGCCAGCAAACACGGCACTCACTTCGAGCAGAACTTTTTCACATTTTTTTTAATGCAAAAATGGTAAATAATGTGTCTTTCGAAAGCTTTAGTGTACCAATTATTTTATCGTAATAATATCTTTCAAGTCAATCCTGACTGTGAACGTGTTTTTTCTCACCAAAAAGCATAGTTTATTCATTAGACGAAGTTCGGATTTAAAATCGCTTCGAAAATTACAAAACGAGCGTCATCTAGAACAACTGTACCTATCGTTTGAATGTTAGTATTATCCAGAAATCATATGGTTGTGCGGGCGGTGTTGCAGACAGAAGATTTATTGCTGGTAAGCTGCGCTATACGGAAAACTGAGTTGAATAAACTTCAAGATACAATTAGCACAGCCTGGAGTCATTTTTACCTGTTTATTAAAGTTTAGGCAAGAAACCGATATTTCAATGATTGCAATGTATAGCAGATAAAGGCTCCATTAACATTTAGTAGATCAACATCTACTAAGCAAGCCTTTGATGTGCGCTAGAATATGAATGTGAGATTTACATAGATTTCTCAGAAGCGTTTGTTAAAGTGAATCATAAACTCGTGATCTATAAGCTTCGTCAAGCAAAGAATGTTAGTTAGCTCCATGTTCTCGCACCAATTCTCTTCTCACCGAGTATTCCTCGGGAGTGTCTTTTGGGCCCTATGTTATTTGTTTTGTACGTTAATGGTACTGCTTCGTGTATCCGCTTTTCTCAAATTCTAATGTTTGCGGATGCGGTGAAAATTTATACTCTTGTTAGTTCAGTGCTTTACGCTGATGGACTGCAATCTACTTTGCCATCTTTGAATGACTGATGTTCTGTGAACAGTATGTCATGTAATTTGTCTCCATTGCCTGCTTGTTAATCCATCAATAATTATGTGCTGGAGAATGTATCTTGTTTTAAAGATTTGAGCGTAGTTTTCGATTCCAGACAGAAGTTCAGTCTTCGTATTGAGTTTTTCGTCAACAAGACAAAATCAATTTTGGATTTTATTAAGTGATGAGCTAAAGAATTTAATAGTTCGTGTATCTGGAAGCGTCCATACACTGTGCTTGTTCGTCCGATTTTGGAACTTTTTGTCGTTGTCTGAGAATAGAGTCTGTTCAAAGCAAATTTCTTCTCTTTGCTTTACGCCGTCTGCCATGGGATCGCACTAGAATTCTCTCAGACTTAACCTGATACGATTACCGTGACTGGCCGGG